TTCCGGAGACGTAAGACCCAGCAGACGTGAGAGAGGCAACGCTGAGACGAGATTTGAACTCCCAAGTCAAATTACAAAAGGCAGATGACATTAATATCACACAGGGTTTGGCAGCTCCTAAGTACATGCGGGGAGACAGCGGGGGGGCCACATAACCCATCAGTCAGCATCTCCCTCTCTTCCTCTGTCAGCCATGTCACTTTGCAGAGGAATGCTCGGGGCACTTGTTATGTTGCCTCCTCTACATAGAAAACGTGGTGATCAACAGGGTTGTTTTTAGCTCAGAAGACGAGGGATGTTATTGTTTGGCAGTTTTTGTATTCTTGTCGGTTTTCTCCCAATCCTTTCGTAACCCTTTTTGCTTCAGTGGTTTTGTGTTATTTGTGTTGTGTAGATCTATTTGTTTTCTGAATATGTGACTTGTGAGTCCTCTGAGGGTTTTTCTGTTCCTTAGCATTAGCCTTTGGTTGGCTATTGACAGTAACTCACCTGTTTTTAACAATAAATCTGACTTAAAGAGGACATATTATGATATTTTTCAGGTGTATATCAGTATGTAGTGTCTCTACTTTAAAGAGTCCTCTCCTGCTGATGTTCAGTGTATATCAGTATGTAGTGTCTCTACTGGGACATGTCTCCATGCTTTAATGTTCAAAAAGTTATTTATTGTTCTCATACTGCCTGTGCTGCAGCACCTCTTTTCACCCTTTGAAACCAGAGTCCAGTCTGCTCTGATTGGTTAGCTGGCCGGCTCTGTTGTGATAGGTCAACCGCTTAGAGATGGCCGCCCCTTAGCCTATCACGTACAATTTGTTGGAGCGCTAGCACTATGTTCCTGAAGTCAGATCACTGAGCATGTTGGGTATGTTTGTTGAAAAAGCCTACAGAGAGATTATTTATATCTGACCGGATACATATATTTTTAAAACTTTACATGTATTGACAGATTATGGGTCTCAGGAGCCATTTTCAAATGTATTTGCTTTAAAATTTGCTCAGATTTCGACCTTACTCACAGACTTTTAACCCAATGAGATCTCTTCATTTTACCTTAAATCATGTTTTTCTGCTCCGTAAAATGTTCTCTAATTCCAAACTCCTACAACAAATTGAGGATAACAATGCCAAAATGAACACACTATCATTAACGCTGATGATAATGATGATGTTATAAACAGGGTCACTGCAGGTCTAACTCGTCCTCAGCTGCTGCACAGATCCAGGTTGAGCTCACTTCCTTACGCAACCATGTCCTAACGAGGACATGGTTGCGTAAGGAAGTGAGCTCAACCTGGATCTGTGCAGCAGCTGAGGACGAGTTAGACCTGCAGTGACCCTGTTTATAACATCATCATTATCNTGTGTGCCTTGGCAGTCTCAGGCTAGCATTATCCACGTCCTCTTCTGATGATGTAGTACTAGTCGCAGCTTCACTTGTAGCTTCGGTGCTGCTAGCCTCTTCTTCTTGTGAATTATATTCTTTTTAGAAAAGAAGTCAGTAAAAAATGTTTGCCTCCGATTATAGAGCTTTTTCGTTAGCGTTCTTGGGGGAAAGAGCTGCCGCAAAATTGTCACTGACACACCCCCAGCTCGCCACGGGGTCACGAGCGTGATGACGAATCATAATTTTTTAAGGAAATCCTTTTTATTTTTTATTATAATTACTGTGGAATGTATTATGTTTTTGTCATTATTACAACAAATACACACTTGCAACTGATAACACTGGCAATGATTTTATATTTATTAGACTATTAAAAAAAAAGATCATGCTCCAAATAAGTGGGGGTACGGCGTACCCCCGCGTCCAACGCCCACTACACCACTGACTATCCCATCATTCAAGAGTGGTTTTCACCATAAGACATTTTTGTTTTTGAACGGACACTATAATTTAAATTTTTTTACTATGTTCAATCTGAATTTACTTTAAAATAAAATCATCTATATTGGTTCTGACACTTCTTCACATCCAACTCACAGATGTAACCTTGCTTTGAGAAAAAAGATTATTAAAATACCCCTTTTAGAAGTGAAGATATGGTCATTTGTTCTGGGAATGTCATTTTTTAGCCAGAGACCTGAAAAACAGGTTAACAAGTCCTGATTTTTCTATTTATTTTGAACCTGCTAAAATGGACTAGGTTTTAAACACTAATTAATTAAAAGATTGAATTTAGTAAAAGTAATTTTACTATGATTAAGTGGCCAGAGGACAATAAATCACTGACCTCACACTGAAAACAGAGCTGGCCACCTAATTCTGAACTCTGCGATGAATAGCTTGTCTTCAATCACCTCATATTTCATGTCCTTTCCATCTTCTCTTTAATCACATGTTGGTTGTTTGTCTTCTTCACCTGAGACAATAGTGCCAGCCTCTCCTTCTCTACACTCTCTTTGTTTTGCCCTCTTGGATAGTCAGGATTGAATTTTAGCTCTGGACATTCAATGTTGCGCAGCTTTGTGCGGTAGTTTGCCATTTTGAATTTCAAATGTATCCTCCGCCCAAAGAAGCCAGTAATGAAACTTGCTTTTAGGTTTTAAACAATAACACAGGTCTATTAATATCATTTTGTATAGGTGCATTTATTCAACAACTCTCAAAATGTACTTTTTAACTGCAGAACCACAATTTGCAAGAGCTTTGTCCCATATAATTTATATAATTAGTTGAGCTCTGTACTTTGAAGTAGTATTAAAACAGTATTTTTCAAGTGTTTATCTGAATGGAAAGGGAAGTTTACGCCACGGATGTCCGTACCAAATATTATTGCAGTCCACCCAATAGTTATTGAGAATCTAAGTCAAAGAACACAAAGAAAAGAAAGCTTGACGCTTGTGAACTGTCAAAAAATAAAGGCCGATGCCGGCCGTCAGTGAACCGAGCCGGCCGCCAACGGCCCGCTGACGACCGGCCGTTCTATGATTCTCCAGAACACACAGATGGCCAATCCGCCCCTGACGCTGACCCTTATAGACATTACTAAGCTTAACCCTAGCATTATACACACAAGTGAAACATTTCAGATAATAAACTATATTTCACAGGAAGGAAGAACTATTACATGTCCAAGTAACAATGCATAGTTTCAGGGGTCTGGGATTAGGTTCAGAGTCATTGTGAAATAAACCCATTGATGGAACGATATGTACTGCCTCCCTGAGGACAGAAGCTGGAAAAGGCAGTAAGCATGTGGCGTTGAGGTCAGGTTTTTATTTATTTATGTGTTTGTGCTGCAACGATTAAATTGATGGATGAGGGCAGCCTTTTGATCTTGAATGATGCACTGAATCTTTCCTTGTCTAAATGTCATATATGTCACTGTGCATGTTGAGCATCTGCGCTCTACCACTCTGATGAGCAGAGTAAAATAAACTATAGTCCCTAGAGTTGTCATAATAAATGTTAGACAGAGGCAGCAATATGGCTCATCTTTTTTAGATCAGCAGCTCTGTCAAAGACAGAGGGGTAGACTCTGCTGGGATCATGTGTGCCACACAAGTTACAAGTAAAGGTCCTGCATTCAGAATGATTTATAAACAACATTAGTATTTCCCGTAAAAAGTACTTAAAGTAAACTAACGTGTTATATTCTACCACAAGTTAATTATTTTTGTGACAAAACAAACTCATTTTACTTTAACAACTCCGTTAGTTTCTTGTTGGGCAATTCTACAACTGTGTCGTTAGTCCATTTGTTCTCTAAAAATATAATTAGAAAAAGTAGCATGGTTTTATTTGAAGCTGTGGGTCTAAAATTGGATTGGATTTTTTTATTTTGTCTTTGAACAATCCCCTCTTGAGAAATAAGTGAGTCAACGTTTCAGAAACTGATTCAAAGATTATGAACCCAGCCGGCTGATTTACTCGCCTGATGTTTCCGCACTTCATCATGTCCAGGAGAACAACAGTAAATCTGTACATCATAAATTCAATTATTTGAAAAAGTTTCAGCAGTGCTTTTTCAAGCTTTCCAGAATGTCTCAATTTGCCATCTCTCTTTATACTCCTCTGTTGGTATTAAATATTAAAGGGGTAGTTCAGCATTTGAGGAAAATATATTTTTTCCAGAGAGCAAGATGTATTTTAATGACATGGATTAGTGTTACATATGACCACTTAAAGCAGTTGACCCGACACATTATGCCTTCTAAATCATCCTGTTGAGAAAGTTATCATTCCAACATTAGCATTTATCTATGTGTAGCCTCACAAAGCTCCATGCTTTTCCAATGTACTGTTCAGATGTGTCTCTATAATTTTGATATAATCGTGGATAATCAACGGTAACAGTTTTTTGTTTTTTTGTGTTTCAGTGAGGTTGGACTGTGGAGGAAAAGACACACAGAGAGAGAGAGAGACAGACAAGGAGTCCAATAACAGCACAGGAGGCCATCAAACAGCAGGGATCCGGACACACACACTCACACACACAACCGTAAAACACACAGTAGAAAGACAGATTTGACACTTTGTCAGAGCCACAGGAAAACACTTAAACAGCGGGGTACTGCCAAAACACATCATAAACTGATGAGTTACACACGGTAACACACACATAGAAGAAAAAACACACAGTGATGGAGACAGACTCAACGCTGTGTCAGAGCCGCAGGGAGATAGTAAAACAGCAGGCTGCTGTCAAAACAGTTTGAGGCAACGGGTTACACACACACACACACACACACACACACACACACACACACACACACACACACACACACACACACACACAAACCCTTATGTGCCCATCCCCCCATATGGATGGATATGTTCAGTGTCTATTCTTTGTATATTTACTGCAGTTGTACATGTATACCAGTAGTCTGAACAATATGTACAATTTGAAAGGGTGTTAAAAGAAATTTGGTGATGATTAAGGGTTTTAGTGTTAATGTAATAGCAGTTAAAACAGGACCGGTCACATTTGACTGCGAACACCAAAGTAAGGGGGGGAAGACAATAGGAGGGTTAAGAGTAATCTTTAACTGTTTGTTCACAGTGAGTCAGAACTCACCAGGACTCTGGATCCGGCCCGGGCTCTGGCCACGGACTCCTTCTCTCTCTCCGCCGCCCTCCGCTGAACCACCTGGAAGTTGTTGAGGGCTGAGGAGAAATCGTTCATCAAACGTTCCCTCTGGAGCTTCTGCTGCCTCTGGAAGAAAAAGAAAGAAAGGAATCTTTTTTAACATTTGGTCAAGGCTGTCATTTTGCATTAGAGTTCAGGTCTAATGTAAAGCTCTGAATGGTGTTAACCAGAACTCCTGCCCTGAGTCTATTTTTCATTTAGTCCCTCCACTGGCTCCCTGCATGTTTTAAAATGTTTCAAGGTGTTAGTTATTTACTACACATTCTAAAGTTGGCTAGCACCAGCCTATCTCTCATTTTCATTTTTGCTGTTTTTCCCCAAAAACATTTAGTCAAAACTTTGGTGATGACATGTCTGAATCTGCTGTTTGGAGTTATTGAGCATCTCAAAGGTCTGTTATTATTTTTAAGTATATCTTGACTGCAGGCAACATGGATGTCCCGATGCGTTTAGTTTTGTTTTAATTTAACTTGACCTTCTTCTTTTATTATGTCCACTATAATTATTGCTATCAAGTCATTATAATTTGAAAGATGTCTGTGTCTCAGCCAAGGAGTTGTAACTCATCAGCAGATGGTTCAAAACACTGTGAACTACACGATCAACTAGTAAACAAAGATGAATCGGCTGGATATATAATATAAATAAAGAGTACTGTCATACGGAGACTTCCGGAATGAAGAGTGAGGAGTAGACGTGTTTTCCTCCGCTCCCTCGCTTCCAACTTTTTTATCATGTAGAAACCTCGTTACTCACTTCAAACTTTTACTAATCGATACAGAACAACTGCGCAACTTGATACCTTAAAAAGACATGGCATCTATAGCCGCAAAACAATTGACACCCTTACTATTGATGAAGAACCCAATACCTAATTATCAGCAGAGCACCCCCCCTCCCTCCCCTCCCTTTTCTTTGCAATACTATTTAATATTCATCCTTTATTTATTTTGCTTTTTATTTCCTTATCCCCCCCTCCCCCTTGTATGTTTGTGTGAATGAGATTGCGGGGTAATGGGGTTTGTGTTTGTTTGTCATCTATATTAGGAAAACACAGTATTTTACATGTACTGTAATGTCTTGAAAATGTCTGTTCGCTATCCGTGTGAAAACTAATAAAAAGATTTATTAAAAAAAAAGAGAACTCTCATACATTGGTTTGTAATTGTAACGTGAATAAAACCATGAGAAGACAAAGACAGAGATTGATTTTGATGCAGGAAAAAAGTCCAGCCCACTCTCACTTCACATCCTGAAGTATGTCAGTATGAGCAGCGTTCTCTGCAGGACGCAATCTTATTCTATCCTTTTTACATACATTAAAATCACCACAAATGCTATATTCTTTGAAAAAGAAGTCACCATATTCAATGACCATTTTGTTTACAAGGCATTTCTCCAGTTAAAGTAGTCAATTTCCTTTTAATATCTTTTGTTTTGTAGATTGTTAATATTTTGTGTTTCCTTTAACTTGATCGCCCTCTGCTGGGCCCTGCAGACTCCTATCCTGTGGTATGATGTAATGGTCTCACTTAAAACCCTACAGTAAGTTTGTTTCTGTATTTTCCCTATTAAAGTGGGCTTCTAATAACCATGCTTTTGCTACAAAGTGGTGGTGAGTAATTGGTTACGCCATGTGTTGTAATTTACTAACGAGCTAAATTATTTCATTCTTAGTTTTTGTACTTTTCTGGACTGTGACCAAACGTTCATCATTAGTATGCTATTGGTTACATGCAGTGTCATTTAGTTTCTCTTTTCTCCTTCCCTCTCATCCTGAAGCTATCCGCAGCTCTGGTTTTTGATGACACATCAACAATGATCTGACCGTGGAATAAGCTTATCATGGCATTCATTGCCCTACTATGATTTTACTGACATATCCATATGTTGATATATCTCAATTGAATGATTTATTGATATAGCGATAGTTTGTACAGATATGTGCGCTCAGGGGAGGCCGCCTCTCCCACTTCAATGAAAGTAGCATTTACAGAAAGTAAAAAAAGATATACATATAAATATTACATCTTTCAACTGATCTATGACAAAATGTAATTGTTTGATTGCGATCATTTTATACACAAAATAGCCGAATTTGCAGAACTCTGCTTCAAATAGGGGGAGACGTCATTGAATACTGACCTGTAGGCCTATGTGTGTTTTTTAAATAATTATAATATGAGATATGAAACACACGGTCACCTAACCATTAGGTCAGTCATCCCAATCGAATGGTGAATTCAAGCTTCCTCTATGGGGCTCATATGTCTATAACTGTGGCTCTGATACTAGCCAGTGCCTCTGTGCCCATTGACCTCACCACACGTCACTGGTGAGGGCTGACCTGTTCTGATGGAGACAGTGGGGGGGGCAGGGAGCCCAGCTCCTTCAGGTGTCTGTTGGTTTCTTTAGCCAGCTGGTTGGTGTAGTGCTGGAGCTGTTGGCTGCAGGGGAACACACACACACACACACACACACACACACACACACACACACACACACACACACACACACACACACACACACACACACACACACACACACACACACACACATTAAGATCCTTCCACTCTGAAATATTACCCAGGATGCTGCTGGTCCCAGGTCAGTACTCACAGCTTCTCCTTCAGCTCGGAGCTCTCCTGTCTCAGCCCGGGTTGGTTGAGGAGGTTTTTGATCTGACCAGCTGAGGAGAAAAGGAACAATTGAATTACACACAGGGGGGAGAGGGTTACTACAAAATGTATGCCTTTACATTTACTAGTTACCAGTCAAATAAAATGTTATCAGCAACCTTATCTAGGTATCACAATATAAAAGTAATGTAACCTGATTACTGACTGGTGCATTTGGATTTCCTCAATATCAAATGCAATGCCAATAAATACAAAATAAAATAAATATCAATATGAAGGTTTTTTAGTTAAGTGTAATATGTAAGACGAAAGGACAATGTGACCTTAGAGAAGAAGAAACCAAGATATTTAGGATTTAAAAAATGATTTTATTGATAGGAAAACCTGCCTTTCACTCAGCATATTCAGGCAGGAGCCTATACGCCCCCACTGAAACACATGAGCACATACTACAGTTTAAAAAAGCAGAAATTAAATCAGAGCTGACAGAAAATGCTCCGTTTTAGTTTAATACACACAGTTAAGCCCACACACACTATTTTATGAACATATAGGTTCACCTTTCTTTTTTTTTCAATTTACACACGGCATCTATTGCACGTCTGTCCGTCCTGGGAGAGGGATCCCTCCTCTGTTGCTCTCCCTGAGGTTTCTCCCATTTTTCACTTTAAACTGTGGGTTTTCTCTGGAAGTTTTTCCTTGTACGATGTGAGGGTCTAAGGACAGAGGATGTCGTGTTGTCATACTGATATTCTGTACAAACTGTGAAGTCCACTGAGACAAATGTAACATTTGTGATATTGGGCTATATACATAAACATTGATTGATTGATTGACTGACCTGCTGAATTAAAAACAGAACAAATGAACTAAAGAAAATATATATATTTATATATTATTAAAATATATGAATTCTACTGTACAGCTTTTAATTCTTCATTCTCTTGTATCTTATTCTTTTTTAAATATACTTATTTCTGAATTTGACTTGCACCACTGAATCAATATTGATTGCACTATTTGACTACCTTGCTTTACGTCTAAAGTATATTGAATGTTGCGCTGTATTGGACTTACAGTGAGACTTTCCTTTCCCACGCATTAGCCTCAGTGCATTCTACAATAAAACCTTAACATTTGAATAGAATGTGTTCTCTAGTGATCTGGGACCTCATTTATAAAGGGATACACCCTAAAAAAATGGCGTACGCCAGTTTCTACGAAATGTTTGCGATTTATAAAATACTAACTTGGCTTGAGCGGGGAAAATGTGGGTCCGCCACGCAAACTCGTAACCCGATGCGGTAGCGCACTAGGCACAACAACGGAGAGTACGAGAAACTGCGACACCGTTGGCAGAAAGGGAAGAAGCGAGAGAAATATGGGAATATAAATACCATAAATAAAATGTTACCTGCTCATTGCATGATTATGAAGAATGCATTTTCACAAATGGCATTAATAAGCCAATTTTAAAACTGATTTAACAATGCGCCGGGGAGAGCCTCGATGGCCACAAAAAGTATAAACTTGGAGAGAACTAAATAAAGTACGGATCATGTTATGTTAAAACCAGCCGTCGAATATTTGGGTTAATGTATGAAATGTTTTTGCTGCTTGTTGCTCATAAAAATGATGCAGGTAGCAGGATAAAGATTGCGTCTAAAGGACGACGACCGTCTTTTTGCATTCTACTAAGTAGAGATACGAGCTTGGTTGTAGTGATACCATAGCACGATGTTTGAATCGGTTTTCGAACCCTAGGTCTTCACGAAAAAACGGTGAACAACTACGTGTCACACAACACTTGGGACCGTTTAGTATTTCTACAAAAACAGCCTCTGAAGATTGGTACAGATCCCTACGTGTTTTTTCCCATTCAATTTCCAGTAGCTGGCGATCTTATGGTATGTGGATCTGAAAGGTGGCTCCCTGCAGAAAAAGAAGCATGGCCGATGGAAGAGTTAAGGGGCCAATTAAAAGGCGTCTATTGAGTTGCAGTTGAGGCTAGAGAAATGAGAGGGTTTTTATTGTCAGGATTATGCGGTGCAGTGGATGCAGCGAGGAGTGCTTTAGTTTGCTAGTTATTACGAAGATTAGCGGAGAAAAATTGTGTCCATTACAAGCGAGTTGGTCATGGTAGCCGGAAGGTGTTGCTACGGACGCGGCGAGGCGGAGATTATTTTTCTGTTATGTTGTTTAACGGGTTTAATGGGGTGTCGTACTTTATTGGCTACCCCAATGTCCCCGCTCCATTTATAGGTTGTTCCGGTACAGCGCAAACGTATGTAAGTGTAACAAAATCCCATCTAAAATGTGGCTAGATACGTGGATTTTCCCCGGTGCAATTCTCCGAACCCAGTCTCACATCTACATCACAATCATCATAAAACAAATACAGAAGAGAGCAGACCGAGAAACATTTTTTTTATGGAAAGAGAAAAGAAGGGGGTGAGGGCGAGGCGTGCTGGCGCATGTTTGAGAGAGCAGGGCGAGGGGTGGGTATAACGGCATGGGTAATCGACGGGGTTCGGGCCTTACATTGTACATCACGAGGTAGCAGCGCCGCCGTAGTTCTCTATTTATAGGAGCGCCTGATGAGAAGACGTCTAGACAACATGAGGAACTGCGACAACCTGAAAACTCGTGACGTGATCATAAAGTATACAGCAATTAAACCCACCATCTTACCATTTCTTTTATCACACAATACGTCTCTTTGGCAGTATTCAACACTAATTCAGCTGACTTGTTATTCTAATACCAATTGGTAATAGGCGCTATTTACACCATAACGGTGCACAAACGATATAGAAGGGGAACACGTAGTGGTTAAAGCAATGTTAATTGAAATTTCATATTTTTGTAGTTATTAGATTATTAATAGGATCCCTATAAAGTATATCATGACGGCGTGTGAGTCTTCACTAATGAGTGTAATTAAGAGGACTTGTATGGAGGACTATATTTCACATCCCTTTCAAGGATTTTCTAATTGGTGTTTAGTTGACATATCATGAGTTTGTAGTACCCAGCGTGACTGAGTGTTAGTTAGGCTAGGAAGGAGAGTAGGAACGGAGTCCGAGGGCGGTCGAACGATGTGCATTAGCAAGGACAGGGTCTAGTCAATATGTGTGTATACGGCCAGCACAACGTGGATGTGAGGAGCAGTATTTTAGAGCGGGAGTTGAATTGAACGATAGTATTCAGGGGCGCGGAAGGGGGTGCTGAAGGCTGCTGCGAGCGACCCGCCGAGCGGCAGGCAGGGTCGAGCTCCCGCGTCTGGAATTATTATTTGACGGTTATTGCTGCTCCCGCTGTGCTTAATTCTGTTATATATGTAAGCCAATAAATTCCACATCGTGGGGTAAATAATATTTGGCCGCCGACCGAATGTTTTTTCTGTAGCCCCGACAATTCTTACCTCAATAATCTAATACATTAACCGTGCTTTACCTCAACCTCCAGCATGACAGAGGACGCAGAATGTAATTTCCCGTATTCAGTGAATGCAACAGAGCAAGACACAGACCTATCAGAGAGGTGACAGGGAAATAAAAGTGCGCTTTGTGTCATCGTAAGCTCCGCTCTAGTGTGTGTGTTGTGTGGTGGGTGTGTGGGTGGTCGTCGGGTGGTGTGGTGTGTGTGTGTGTGTGTCGGAAATATCGCATTTGTGTGTGTGAGAGAGAGAGAGACGGGAGAGAGAGGGCGAGAGAGAAGAGACGGGGACCGGCCAGCAGCAGGACCGTGTTGCTTAGCAGTCTTGGTTAGCTGTA